CGTGCCTTGGATGGTCGTCTACTCCACATGCGCCGAGGTTCTCTGTGAGGAAGCGTAAGAAATAGTCGAAGTGCTTAGACCCAACAACACCTAGATGTGTATATAGCGAAATTAAAAATATTAATCAATAAAAAACAACAAGCAACTTATTTATTATTTCCAGATGAGTAAGTTTAATATTAAATTAAACCTTAAGTTTCATCATGCAATATAAATCAACAACATAAAAGTAAAGAACAACCAAATTTGGCAAAGAAGGAAATAGAAATGATCTAATGCTTACGGTGGGCATGAGTTATAATGCCCAATATAAGCGTGGCAACATTCGATTTTTCCACGTGACAACACCAGATGCATGTGGAAACTTTAAATGTTGCCATGCCCATTGTGGGCATTATAACCCATGGCCCCCCCCATGGACATTAGATCATTTTTTACGAAAGAAAACTCTTCATAGGGATAAAAGACTTGGGGAGAAACCTTGTCAAAATGATCTATTAGGAAAGATAACTTACAGTTGATCCAGACATAACTAAACTTTAGTAGACTTTGACCACCCAAACTGTTTATAACTGAAGAACCTCTTCGATTGTGCAACCTGCATTTTTTAGCAACTCTAAACTTCTTTTCTCTTCGCATGGATTACCAAGAATGGACTCGTTCTGGAATTCCAATTGTCTCTTCCCCAACTTTAGAATTCTGAAGGCTTATTAGTAAAGGTAATGATTTTTTGTTTTTGATATCTAAATCTTTTGTGTTTCGTTCTTGCGGTTCAATAAAAAAAAATTATGGAATATGCTTATGATCTTCAAAGGATGTTCTCTTGTATGATATAATGATCAACACACTTTTGGGATGGATCAATGCTTAGATATATATTATATTAAGTGTTTGATGTTGAATGGAATTGTGAAAATTGTCAAAATCCCGAACACGACTCTATTCAGATATGCCGATTGCTCGAAAGCCTCTACTTGGCTAGCGAGTGGTCAATAGGCAAAATTAGTACCATTAAAATAAGGAAGAACTGAAAGTTATTAACTCGTCTAGACAAACAGAGTTAAGAATCGATATTAAGCTTTGATACTAACTGAAACAACCGAGACGCTTAGACCCAACAATACCTAAAGGTGTATCAGAAATAAAAAAAATATCAATCAATAAAAAGCAACTAGTTATTTATTCTTTCTAAGTGATTATGTTTAATATCAAACTAAACCCTAAGTTTTAATCGTGCGATATAAATCAAAAGTATAAAAGTATAGAATATAGAATTTATTAACGAAAGAAATCCCTTAAAAAACACTTCATATAGATAAAAAAAAAAAAAACCTCTAAACAAACCTTGCCAAAATGATCCTCTAGAAAAGATAACTTATAGTTGATCCAGACACAACTAAACCTTAGTAATGTAAATCACCAAGAACTTCTTCGATTGTACAACCTACACTTTCCAACAACTATAGACTTCTTTTCTCATTGCAGGGATTATGATTACGGCCAAAGTATAACACGGTAGTTGTTGTATGGCTTTGGGATATCATATCCACAAGGAGATGGAAATTTTGTTAAAGGATCAAAAGTTTGGGGTTTTCTTCGTGCTTTGAGTAAAGAATTTATCAATTTGAATGAAATGTAACTATCAATGATTGAAGTAACGAAATTTGAATCAATGTGTGAAATAATGAGGCGCGGGAATTTCCTCGATTAGTTCAGATTAATCAATGTGAATCACTCATTCAAACCACTTTGAGGAACGACAATATACGTCAAGTATAATGCAGTAATCAAATCAACAATAAAATCTTATGAAATTGAAATTCAACAAAAAGTTAATTTCACAATAGACAAAACATTATTGAGTCTATGAGAAATATAATAAAGTTAAACCAATCTCGCAATAATGCTGGAAGTTGAGACCTAAATCAATTGAATTTCACTTATAAATCTAGAAGTTAGATTTCCTCCAAGATATTCTCACTTTAATTCATTGGAATTAGATTCAAAATCAATTACATAGATCAAGCATATAATATTAGCGAATCACACCAATGTGATGATTGAAATTGGAATTCAATACATACTTCAATTATTCGATGAAAAGAGCATTATTAAATACATGAAAATCTAATACATATTAAACCAATTTCAAAAATAGGAAATCATAAACCTAGAATTGTTTATCAACGAAAAATCAAATTACATGCGTTAAGAGACATTGAACACCGACACCAATCGAGTCATCCCTTACGTCACCAAAGTTTTTCTTAGCTTTTCATGGAATTTCTTGGCCAAAGATGAGAGAAAAATGGAGTCCCGGTTCAATCCCTCATGTTCTGAAGTGTTTTTGGGCTTAAGAAACATGTTAAAACGCGTTTCCATAAGTGATGTCATCAATTTAGGAATTTGGCAAATTTGGTCTCGGAGAATAACTATGCGACCGCATGGTTATAAGCCATGCGGTCGCATAGAACAAATGTGTGGCACCCAAAAGTTCCCTGGACCCTTCTATGTGGTCACATAGCTTTTGAACTATGCGAGCACCTCGTTCAAAAAAAATTTTGCCAGACAAATTTTAGTATTTTAGTCATAAATTTTCCTCCCGATATTCGATTGAGGTGATTCAAGTTGCATTGCACAGCTAACTTGAAGGGCTACAACTTTTTTTCAGAAGTCACCTTCCAATTCGATCATTTTCCACATCAAAAATGGGTCTTAACATGAAGCTGAAAATCGGTGTGTAACTTTTTCAATTGGAAATTGATTTGTGAAGATGTTATCGTCATATTTCACTTCTTTTGACTTCAAATTACACTCAATTGACTCCTAGCTTTCTTGAATCATCATTCCATCACCCGTCTCATTATGAATTATTTGTAACTTGATCCCTGAACTTTCATTTTTGCCACTTTGGCCATTTTTACTTATTTCTCCCAAATTTCACATTTTCCATCAAATTGCGACCTAGATTAAAATATAAGAGTAATGAGTGCATTTTGACGTTAAATAGTCATATGAATGCGACAATTAAGAGAGAAAAATATCATATTTTACACTCTTATCAGATTGCTAAGAATGAACTTGTTTTGGAATAACTGGAACTCTAGCTATCTCTTTTCCAACTTTAGAACATTGAAGGCTTATAGGTGATGGTAATGATTTTTGGTGTTTGATATTTAAAGCTTTTGTATTTTGATCTTGTAGTTGAATCAAGAGAATTACGGAATATGTTTACAATCTTCAAATGATGTTCTCTTGTATGTAATAATCAACACACTTTGGGACGGAACAATACTTGGGTATTTATAATATCAAGAGTTTGAGGTTGAATGAGATAGTAAAAACTACCAAAACCGTGAATAGGACTCTTTTCGGATAAATCGTTTGCTTGAGCGCCCAAGGCGCATACAGCGAGTGACGAATTTCCCTTTTTCTTTGCTCGAGTGCCTCTTGCTTGGTAGGCGAGCTTTTGAGACGATCTTTTCTTATTGGTCCCATCTTTGACTGTTTTGACTCATTTAAGGCCTATACTACCAACACCCAACTCTTTTAACTTAAATTACTACTCAAAAACTATGATTCTTAACATGAAATTAGTCAATTACAATTTGGACCTAACAACCTACACACAAAACCACGAAAGGAAATTACATATGCTGCCAAACCACATTTTTTCTGCAAATTCAATACTTAGGCTTTGTTTGAGCATGTTTTAGGGAAAATGAGTTTTGTAATCGTGTTTTCCCCCCTTTCTATTAATGTGTTATTGAAAATTAGAAAAAATAAATTTAAATTTACATGTGAAATTATTTTATTGGAATAACGTTTTGATAAAAATAAATTTTTAGATAAATCAGGTTCAAACATGGGCTTATTGTTTATATTCATTCCTGGATGTAAGCAAGCCAAATATTCCACATATTCAAGACACATGGACGGTTCACCACCGGGTAAAAAACCACCCCCTCCATTTTCTGTATAAAAAGCACAATTTAAAAAACAAACAAAAATGCAATACGCGATAGAGATGGTAAGTAAGGAACGACTCCTAGATTTCCTTGTATCCATGAGGTCTTCATCGTAACTTGCATTGCACATTTGCACAAACGAGTATCCATTGTTTTTCTCCACCGAAAATATTAGGTCTATATATATATATATATATATATATATATATATATTGGGTAAGGGCATTTCGGGCAAGCCACAATCGAATTCCTTTCCAACAGTATGACAAGTATTTTTGAAAAATAATCGTGACCTTTAATTTAAACAAATCTAACGGTCAGATAAAGCTACTAAAACAAGTGAAAATGACAGGGTATTAAAACGTTTGATCCTTTTTTTTTTTTAAATAAATAAAATTGGCCAATCAATATTGACACATGTCCCCTATTTTTGAACTCTGTCCCCAACCCTATTTTTGTATTTTTAATCACTTTGGTTTTCCTCCACAAGTATTATGCTAGTTCAAACTTTAAGGGTACGCTTGATTACCAATATTTTTTCATGGAAAATGAATTTTTTCATCGTGACTGACATTTTTTCATGAAAAATATATTTTGTTACTTTTAGTCACGTGACCATATTTTCCTCAAAATCAAGGGAAATATTTTCTTTAGAAAGTGTAGGATTTTATTTTCTAGGGAATTCACTCTCTCTCTCATCTGCTTACCAATAAAAATCGGACAAGTATAATAATTTTTAAATTGAAAATTAAATCAATCAAATACAGTGAATTGACAATTGTCATGCAAATAATTTCTAGGCTATTAAATTACTTAGAATTTTTTTCTTTCCATATTTGCAATCAAACGCACCCTAAATTCTTAAACTTATTAGTAAAAACTGTACTGGACGTTATTCCTGTCCTAAAATTATGCCAACTGAGTGAACTATTCTTCAGTCTTTACACTCACTTTTCTGTTGAGCCGTTACTATAATTTGGAGGCTACGTAATTGTCTATTTTCAGTTAGACCCCCACAATTTATTCCCTCTTCTAATCAAAAGAGTACCCCAGATTCCTCTGCTTTTGATTTAGCACAAAAAAGGGCATCAAATTCAGTGATATTGCATTAATTTCTTCAAACTGTGTAATTAAAGATGATGCACGCTACATCTGAATCAGATTTCACAAGTATTTCACCTTATTCTTCCCCGGCATCTGCGAAACAGGCAGTTTACTATGTACAAAGCCCATCTCGTGACTCCCACGATGAGGCCGATAAGTGTTCTTCTTCCATGCACGGTGTCACCTCTCCTACTTATCACAGCTCCACGGACGAGTCGCCTTCTAATCTTTCAAGGCATTCTATGGCATCAGCTGCCAGTCGATTCAGCTCGAGGGACAATAGGCGGAGAGGCTATATTAAGGGATGGCGACAGTGTAATGTGGTCGAGGAGGAGGATGCTGATGATGATTATTATTATGAAAATAGAGAGTTTACGAGCCAGTGTAAGATATTGATGGTCATCGTCGGTTTTGGAGCGGTTTTTTCAGTGATTTGTTTGATCATTTGGGGCATCAGTAGGCCCTATGACCCTCAAATCAGCATGAAGGTATATATATGATCATGCACATATGCATCATTATATTCCTCGTCAAAATAGCTAAAATCTTGTTCATTACTGTTGAACCTAATAACAGAGCTTGTTCGTTCACGATTTATTTTACGGAGAAGGATCAGACTGGACCGGTGTTCCAACCAAGTTTCTAACGGTGAACTGTACGGCAAGTATGGTCATTTACAATCCAGCTAAATTCTTTGGCATTCATGTCAGCTCTGATCCTGTAAATCTCATCTACTTGGAAATTACTGTTGCCAGGGGTCAGGTAAGATTCTAAAAATGTCCATTAAACTCGAATGGAAACTGTAAATGACAAGATCTTAGCTTATTTTTCTACTTTGTTACTGTCCAATACGTCAGTATCAAATGGACCCTTCGCGAGTTTTGACTATTCACACTTTGACAAGTGCAGCTAAAGAAATATTATCAACCAAAGAAGAGTGTTCGAAAAATGTCCGTGAGTCTTGAGGGACAAAGGGTTCCTCTTTATGGTGCAGGAATGTCATTATCAGCATTGGATAAGAGTGGTGGATTTCCACTCAAATTGGAGTTCGAGATTAAGTCGAGAGGTTATCTGATTGGGAAGTTGGTCAAGACGACACACAGAAGGCACGTCTCATGCTCTTTGCTCCTGAATTCTAAAACCACCAAACAAATCGTATTTAAGCAGAATTCTTGCAAATATGGCTAAAGGGATATCCTTCTGAAGTGGTAAATTGTACTCGCCAGTATTATACTCGAAAAGAGATTCTCATTTAAAAGCTGCACTCTTCTTCAAAATTTTTAGATATATGTATTGGTTAATCCTGCAACATGCCAGAAATTCAAGAGGCGACAGTGGGGTTTGCGAAATTTAAAACGCCTACGTACCCATACACGATCTCGTGTGCCCATAATTTCCAACCAAAACGTATTCTTGTTTACAGAATACACAGGTGATTTCGCTTTGAACCCACGAGTACAAACAAGTAAAATGGATTAAATGCAGTAATCTGGCATTCAGATGAAGGCTTGGATCTCTTCAGCACCATCTGGCTTCTTAAGTTGATCCATTCTGATTTCCCGTAATGGTGCCAGGTGTCAACGGTAAAAAAATTGAATAAGAACCATAAACTATGAAGGATTTTCCCCTGAGAACAGGGAAAACTTACAGAATTCATACAGGATTTTGAAATGGAAAAATCTTATTTGTCTGGGTTTTATTTATTTATTTATTTTTCCATATGAATAATGTTTCGACACCCGTATCAGTGAAAAATTTCATGTGCAAAAGCCCTGTACTTGTGGCATAACTCACGGAGGAACTATCTAATCTTCTGCAGTACAATTCCAGATTCTCTCAGATTTTACTTAGAAAACCAATGCCTCGCCATGCATCAGCCACAAGCTGAACAGTTTTCTGCTCAGGAAGGAGACCCTTCTCTTCCATAGTATGGAGGAACTCTTCGTCTTTCCATGGCTGTTTTGCTTCCCCATATCCTCATATTAGAGTTTCAAAGGTCTTCAAATTCAGGGATATATCCATCTCACACATTTTCTCGTACGTTCTTAGAGCATACTCCATCTTTCCCTTGCCACATAATCCATCGATGATTTTAGTGATGTTTGGATGAAGTCCTGACGACACCTCGGCCTTTTCTGTATAAATCAAGAACACTATTAAGAAATAGAACGGTATTGTAAGAAGGCTGCAATAACAATGTATGAACTTTGGAATATCCAGTAGTGGTCTTGCTCTGTTGGGCGATAAATGGATGGGATGAAACATAATGCTACTCTATTTTACGAAAGTCCGGAAAACCTCTGATTTGATCCTCTTATATTACAAAAAGAAATGACAATTTGTAACCTCGTTCGACAACTGCTGTCAATTCTTTTCATTTGTCTCTAAACACAGAATATTTCGGTTAAGAAAAATTGACGTTGTCATCATCAAAAGTCAAATCTTACTCATCAACTCCATCAGGGTCAGTATAGTCAAGAAATCCTTTTGACGAGTGAGTTGAACATGACAAGATTTGGATGAACTCAAGTCCAAGATATCATTGCTTCAGCTCGACTGCTGTCCCCTTGCAATCATGGACAGAGCTAGATTAAAAGAATTGTGGGGACAATTTTCACAAAATTTTAAGGAATAAACTCCTTGTACAGACCTATTTGTACAGGGTCAGTACAGAGCCTCTCACATGGGGGTGGACCCTACATGTGGACTCCATGTGTGGGGTCCACCCCCATGTGAGAGCATTACTCTGTGCAAATGAGTTTGTACGAATAGCATTTTCGAAATTTTAATTGTATAGGCAAAAATGATAACTACAAGAACTACTTTTTTGAAAATCTTGGACAAAATTTGATATGAAATTTACTGTGAGGGCAGCTGACCCTGCTCTCCCCACACTAAATCCTGGGTCAGCTACCCCATACTAAATTCGTCCCTGCCTGCAACATTATATCAAACATTCTTTGGGTTTACCAATGATTTCGAACCCTTTAATTAAGATATTAAAGGTGCTGGTTGTTAGCTCACACCCTTGCTCTCTCATTTTTCGGAATATTTTCATTGCTTCCTTAAAGTTTTCAGATTCAGAGAAAGCATTAATCATTGCATTGAAGAATATAGAGTCGGTTTTTAGTCCATTCTCTTCAACCTTATTAAGGAGTGGACTCGAAACGCTCCTCAAGTGCAATTGCAGCTAAAACAGCTGCGAATGTTACAATAGTCGGCCTGTGTCCTCCTTCTGTTAAACCTTTGAAAACAGAGTGGACTTTACGAGGCTTTCTCTACTCTATCAAAGTATTCATCAACTTTGTTCTTGAGCAAACTGTTTCACAAGTCGCAACTACTATAGTTCAGTTTGCAGAAGATCGGCAGCTGAGATTCCAAGCTCTATAATCTACCGTTACCTAACTTCTCCACCTTGTGTCGATGAATTACTGAGCTCACTTGAAAAGAAATAGTTCAAATAACACCCCACATAGATTCTAGTGAATTGATTGATGATAATTTTGTTGGAAAAAATTGAGTGAGCAGCTCACTTTTGGCACAGTTTTCGATGGGACCCATTGGTACAATGTGGAATATCAAAGTTGATATGTGTTCTCCTCCGCGAGAACATCGATTTCATGTATTTATTTGCCAAAAATGAAGCTCGGTGGATGAGAAATTGGAACTCAAAGTTGGTCATTGGAAGTTGGTTTTGTGGGAAAAAATGCATTTATCCCACATAGGAAAACCAAGGAAACTTAAACCATTTTATATATGACTATGCTTTGGAGATGTGTAATCCTGTGCAGCATAGAGGCTCTCTCCATGTGCGCGCACAGAAGGGGGTGCAAATCACGAACCGAAATGACCTTCGGACCTTGAACTTGGGCGCGACCTGCGTACACGAATCTCGGACCAAGCAAGGCAAAAATGGCCCCATCGGAGAGCCCACGTTTTGCCATCACAGTGTTAATGAGAATTAACTCCCAATGGTCACAATATTAATGGGCATTATGCCTATAAAAAAAGGCAGGCATAAAAAAAGGCTCATTCTCCAGCAATCTAACACACTTGAAAATCTCACCTACATTCCTGCATACACAGTTTCTTTTTTTCTGCATTCCTTGTCCAGTGAGGTCTTGTTCTTGTGGTGATATTGTTCAGATACTAGATCAGTTCGTTGGAGTAGGACCGCGGTGCTCAGATTCTGCTTATTACCATTATATCCTGGGAGACAGCCGCTCGAACTGAACCTCCAGCACCTACGGTGAGGGGGCGAAACTGTCTTAAGAAAATTGTGCACGCACAGGCCTCGATTTGAAATCTGCTGCAGTTTGTGTTTTCTTTCTAAAGATTATTTTCGTATTACTATTTAATTCATGCAATTTGTAGTTACATAGTGTTCAGCCTCCAGATTCATTGTTTACAGTTTTAGCCTGCAGTTAACTTATATTTCTGATTTTGTGTTGCTAAACATTTTTTCAGCCGTTGGAAATTCTGAAACGGAATTTTTTTTTATAAATTGAAATTGTTTGCCTTGTGGTTATTAATTTCAATAGTCGCCTATTGCAATTGAATAAAACTTATACAATTGGTTTCATCAACCAGCGACTTGTTTTCCTACAAATTCAAATACATCAAATAAACTAGTCGAGTTACTTTAGCCATACCATCAAGACTGATGCTTGAATTTGTGTCTTGCTAGTGATTGTTCCATTCTACTGCGTTATTTCGACAATAGATCATCTTCTTCCTTTACGCGAGTCTCATATATCTTCTAATGGTTACCTGTATACATCGAAATCTCCTCCTGCTATTGGGTTTGCATATTAATTACAGATGTGGAAATGTTTTAAGAAAAGAATCAACAAATACTATGCAAATATTATTCAGGAACTTATCAATAAAATGAATTTCAACGAATTTTATGGCTGCAAACCTGCAATGACGGATTCTACATTATAACCAAGAAAGCTAATCTAATCCACCACGTCAATGTCGATTTAGTACTCTTCAAATGAAATTTCTGTGAGATGTCCACTTCATGTACATGTATATGGAAGAAGTGGAAAACAATTGAACATAGTTCAACTCCTAATCAATTGCGCCGGGAAATCAGTTTCAATATCTCCAAGCCGATGGTTTTACTTCAAATTTATGCCCTTGGAACAACAAAACAGTGTTCAAGATCATAGTTCGGAAGTTCAGATGACTAGCATACAACATTATGGCTTTTTTGGTAGGGTGAATTGTCTTATACTAAACTATTCAAGAAAAAAAGAATATAAAATCTTGTCCACTATAACGTTCAGTCCTTTCTAATACCATTTAGCAAACATGCCACTGAGGAAGTAGCGAGAGCAACTTAGTTGATTAAACTTTGAAATGTTGTGAATGACTTTCTCACCAAAACCAAAGGATTGGTTTTGCTTCAAAAGCTAGAATTAAGGGTCACATGAGGGGTTCCATGGAAAAGGGTTTCCATGGAAATTTTGGCTATCAAACATGTCAAAGTGGTGGAAAATTTCCATGGAAAATGTAAACTATCAAACAGGCCCTCAGAGTTTGGTCAATTTTCAAGTTTACATCTTTGTTCCAAATGTTTTTTTAAATTGGTGCAGATAAAAACTTAGAAAAGATGAAGAATAAAGTATCAAAGAATTAAACTGAGGATAATAAAGAGATAAAAACAAAATTTGGGGGTGAATATTTTCGATTTTTTTACTTATAACCGGACGATCTCGAACAACTTCCCATATGTTACCACAAGAAGTCAATACAAGAAATGACAAGTACCAAAAAATAAACAATATACACCAAACACTGTACAAGTTACTAAAGCCTTTTTCCTTCTGCCAAGAGGTTTTGATGTGATGTCTATACACATTTGGTTGACAAGTAAAATAAAATTGATGGGATTATTATGTAAATTTGTAAGCTTACCAATGATATTCAGTGAAGGAATATTACATTTTCCTCTTCCTCCCATAAATCTGGAAAATCTTGGTGCTAGCTGTAGTTTCTGTAAGCAGTATATGCCTTCATTTGCCCTTTTCTATAATCCCATTTATCTTCTTCCAGGCACTAACCTCTGTTTTTCAACTCTGTCCCAGCCGATCTCACTGCTCAAAATATCTTCAAGTCGAGACCTTTCTCAGTAGTCAAACCCTGCATATGGAACAATAATACATAAAATGTATATTCCATTACACGAACTGACCAATAGTGTCTCAAGCATGGTTCGCCTACATCAAGTCATTTAACAAAAATAAAACTTTAGGATAATTCAAATCCGCAGTTTCACATGAACCTCAACCCACAATTCATACATGGCAAAAGTATGCTTCCATAACAAATAACGTAGATTAAATCAACTGATGAGGAATAAAAAGCTCTTAAAATGATTACACAAAAGAAAATGCGTACCCTATCACCAGGGCCCCACAATTCTGTGTTTGAAGATGTGAATGATGATCTATAATGTTCTCTGCCAACTATTTCTTCATGTACTGTCACCATATAAAAAGCCAAAACATTTGAGGTCTTCGCTGACTTCATTCATGAATTTCCAGCTTCCCTATTGATGTTACCACGGACATCAAGAGAACCAATGGAGCGACTCAATTTAATTTCAGGCTTGAACTTCGCTGCGAATGCTAATGTCGACTGGACCGCCTTCTGTACAGAGCTTGGTGTGTTTGACAAAAATGATGTCTTCGAAGAACTTGAAATACTTTGGCTACATCCAGCTGCTGACGGATCTATGGATAGGCCAAAGGGATTGGAAGGCATTTTAGTGGGGATTTGAAGTCTATCCGGGGTAACTTCTTTTGGTTGAACAAATGGTAACAAAATGTTACCATCACTAGGACGCAAACCAGCTTGATTCTTAACACTAGAATCATTTAATGGACCTTTGTCAAATGAAAGAAAGTTAGTGCCCCAAGGTGAAGCCACCGTAGAAGTTCTCTGTGCATTTTCCTTCATGTTCTGTACCAAATCTACCGTACTTTCACTGGTTTGACTGTCAACTTTAACATCGTCACAGCTCTTCTGAGAAAAGCAAGCTTGCTTTGCTTTAGTTGAGTCATCTAATGACGACATCTCAATTTCATTATTCTCAGATGAAAACAACCTCGAGAATTTTTTACCATTAGAATCATCTGACGGGACTTTGCCGAAGGATAAAAAATTTATTCCCGCTGGTTTCCTTGGAGGCGCTATCTTAGATATTTCCTTCGGCTTCTGGATGTTGCCTGACACTTCAAACATCGTATCACTGACAACATTATTACCAACATCCGCTTTCAGAGACAAGCCAGCTTGTTTATGCTTACTGGAGTCACCTAGCAACGACTTCGCATGAAAAAGGAAATTAACTCCTTTTGGTGCCTGTGCAGCAGCTCCTTGTGCAGGATTTGAAACATGCTGTTCCACACTCTTACCGGGGGAATCAATGGCGGAGGAGAATTCAGCATCAGCATTTTGAGGAGAGGAGGCATGAATATTCAAATGCTTATCAGGTTTTGAATTAGTCAGCAAGGAAGGAGCCTTCGCTTCAAGTTTGGTCAAATTGGATGTTGTAAAGGAACCTTTTGTAGCCAGCATCATTTGCTGTTCAGACTTCAGCTCAGACTTCGAGACATTTGATGCTGGAGAGGAACTATCAGCTAGCAGCTGAGGTATTTCAGCACACAAAAAAATAAAAATCAAATACCAAATTAAAGTCCTGCCAAAGAGTACAGAACCGAAAAAACATAGCCAGCCATTTGAAAAAACATTGACAGCAAAAACTTAAAAAAGATTTTTATTACCTTGTGTGAAAACAAACAGTCAGAACCCCTACTGCAAAAGCCTTGTGATGTATAATTGTTGCACGGGTACTTGGAGAGTTGATGATCAAATGGGCAGTCATCTCCTTTCATGCAAGAGTGACGAGCAAAATGACAACATGGCTGTGGGAAAAAAAAAAAAAAAAGCAGTGAGATGTACTTATAATTAAACTTTAATTGCTCAAAACATAACTAACATGTTATATGACAATACTACCTCCATGTAAAAGATTCAACAATAACTTTGATTCTCGAAAAACTGATGATTATTGAGGTGTAAAACATGATACAATATTCAAGAGTTTCTGCCAAGATACAACGCATAAGACTAGCTACACAAACCAGCGCCAACTCTGTAACATGAAAAATATCCCAGACATTTTTCTTCTCCAACAACCACAAACTTTCCTAGGGTGAATTGAAACCACAGAGCACTTCTTCCAGGGGGATTGAAGGTTTGACAGGGATGACATATATTATCTAATAAATGCAAGTTTTAATATCTATGGAAGTACCGTACTTTTCTAATACTATAAAAAAATACTTTGCAAAGTCTTTACTTTTATAATAACATGAAGGCTCTATTTGTGAATGGCTGTCATGCAACATTAAGTAGGTAACAAGTTTGTCATATGGAACTAAATTCAAATAGAAGGCATAAAAGATTCAAAAAACATAGGAATCGGTCCTATTCACCTATCCAAAAAAATCGACCCTTTTATTGCCAATCCCTATCCCCTTGAAGACAGGACAAAGTTTTCAAAATATTTCAAATGAAGCCTTATTCAATCAGAGAAAATATTGTGAGGCATTAACAATTAATATGCTAAAAGAAAATAAAAAGGAAAATCTTAACCAAAATAACAAGGAAACGAAAAACAAGAGGCTTATTATTCTATATGGAATAGTGCCCGTGGTTCATATTAAAACTTGAAACTGAGTACAGCACAAACATACCTTTGATTTTGTCAAGGGTATTGTATCATGCGAAAAATTGCACTTCTCACCCTGTAAAAACACAAAATGGAGTGAGTTTCCAGGTAAAGTTGTATTTTAGAAAAGTAACCCAAAACAATGAGTATTAAATGTCTAAATGATAAAGATAACAGAGTGTTGAACTCTACAACCTCCAGGCATCTCCCCTTTAGATAGTGGCGGCAATAAGTAATTGTTTTTGGTTTCAGAACTGGTTGCAGCTTTAATCTTTTAACCCCAAGCTTTCTATTCTTTTCGGCTCGCTTGATCCTATCTTTTTTCTGCAAAATAAAATTTCACTAATCAATTGAACTGTGGATAGCAACTATCAGATACGCATTCTGCAATGGTAAAACCTCTAGGAAGAAATTCCCAAGTTAATGAGTTGATGTTCTTCTTCAGAGAGAATTAAATAGACAAGTAAATTCAATTTTGAACATAGACCTTTTTCTTCGCTCTTCTTTCCTTGGTCAAAGGACCCTTCTTCTTTTTCTTTTTATCACCACTGGCAACCTGTACAAGATTTAACATCAAGTTAGCCAGCTATGCAGCCAAATTAGGCGGTGAAATATTGATTGTACAGAAAAAATAACAATTGGGGAAACTCCAGCATTTCTACCAGCTAAAAGTGACTATGAATATACACATATATATACATTGACTAACTATACTTCAAAAGGTAATTAGATTAGAAGATTCAACACAATCCAGAATCTTTCGTTTCTACCAATTCTTTTAACCTTACACCTAATATGAACATGCAAAACACAGGATGATTGGCAGGACCTTCAGTCAAGTAAATACAAAAACCTTTTAAATGATACTGAAAATTTTGTCAAGTTTATTACCTATTATTTCATCAGTTTATTCATTTTCTCGTAAAACCTCTTTTCTATTCTCTCCATATGGCTATTTAGCAGGGGTCATGTAAAGATGGATGCTATCTCTAGGGCAGAGGGGAGGAACTGATTCTGGTATATAGGAAAATGAAGTCCATGGACGTATATCTTTAAATATACAGCCAAGTATACACTTCAGCATATTAAGATTTCCTTAAAATTGCCAAGAAAGATGTATACCAAAGATCCCAAGTTCCAATTTAGATCAGATTAGCAGAGAAGTTAAAAACTGCTTACATTAAATATATAACAACAAAACATAAAAGCTCCCGTACTTCCAAAAATTTGCAAGATCCACTTAAATCTTTGAAATGACAACCTAATATTCCACACTTGAAAAGAATCTTATTCCAGAAGAAAATAGGATATTTTGAATAACTGGAATGGTAGTTCATGTAACCACCACCTCTGATGTAATAATTAATGTTTGAAGATGTAAACCATGGAAAACACAAAATGAATGCAGAAACTAATAAGAGCTACATAAATATAGTACCTGTTCACCGGGGACAGAAACCTGTTTTTCAAGATTATTTTCTTGAAAGATTTCGCCATGAGCAGATAGATTTTCTAAAGAGGCTCCTGTAGGATCAATGTTTTGAGTGTCCATAGCACTATTGTGAACAATAGTTTGATATAGACTATCCTGCTTTTTTCTGACAATATCTACCTCCATGGGATCATTATCATCATCCATTCTGTCTAAAGCACTGCTGATAAAACCTCTATCTTCATCATCCCAAGTGAACACTTCTTTATCAACACCAGAAATCTGCCCCTCTTCCGTTGTCCTCTCTTCCAACAGCATTGAATCTTCAAATAATTCATCCATTAAATCATTGTATACCCCAGGTTCTCCTGATATCTCCCCTTCTTCAATCTCTTCATTTGCAGTTACACAATTAGAAAAATCTATTGAACCTGAATTAGATATAAGTTTCTCAAATTCAATCTCCTTCAGCCGCAACTGATCCTCAACTTCTTTTGACGTACTCCTATCTAAACTAGACCCCTTTCCTTCACAGTTCTCACCAAGTTTTGATGATTCAGAAGACGTATCTATGCCTAAACAAGAGTTAATAGCTTCAAATACCTCCACAGTGCAGACTCCCTTATTTGATTCTGGTTCTCTAGAAGGACCAATATCCTCCATTTGAAATTCTGGAACGCAATTAACATTCTCTAGTTCATCCACATTCCTGATGATGCAATCACTAGTCTGTGGTTTATTTATGACGGAAGCTCCATGGATAGTATTATTTGCTAGAACAACTTGTAGTTGCTCTGAAACTCTATTACCATTCTCTAGTTCATCAACACTCTTGATGGCACAATTACTAGTCTGAGCTTCATCTAAGACCAAATCTCTATGGATATTACTATTTGCTAGGGCCACTTGTTCTGGAATACAATTAACATTCTCTAGTTCGTTAACACTCTTGATGGAGCAATCACTAGTCTGTGCTTCGTCTATGACAGAATCTTTACGGACAATACTATTTGCTTGAACAACTTGCCCATTGAATTCAGCTGCTACATTTGTGTGAACCATATCGGGTACATCCTTCTGTTTACCACTTAAACCTCCACCTTGTGCGTCAATACTTTCTTTACTCTTATCAGCCACCGGTTCTTGTTGAACTAACAAATTCTCCCACTTCATTTCCTCGTGCTTTGTTAATTCATTATGTTCAGTCACTTGCCCACATTCAACAGCACCATTATAACCTTTGGAAATGACAGAACAACACAATTATAAAAATCATGCAACTCAAAGTTTGGAAATAAAAAATTACATGACTAACATTAAATCTCCTAAACAGTGTTCCAAAATGCCCTCTTTCTTCAGTTTACATTATAGCATGAACATGCTTTCTTTTAGAAAGTAAAGAGATCAAGATAAACTTCGAAGAGAGAAAGGAAAAACTGCAGCTTCTTAACCAACCAAAACGAACTCAAAGATTTTTTACTTTTCACTACTCGATTTACATTAGTTTTTGCACAAGAGAAGATAAAAAGAGAACTGAAACAAATCTCATCATTCAGTATTTTGTTTTATGTTTCCTGTTCAATCTATTTCCAGTGTTCATTTTTAAAGTGATGCATTAAACTTAGTGTCCCTTTTTTCTTACTTCTAAGTAAAAAGCACTTGCTTTTTTCGAAATACCTTACCATAAGTAACTTATTTCTACCTTCCACCATGAAAAATAATTAATATTTTGAAACTTACTTCTGACATACAGGTAAAATCACTTTAAAGTAGACTTTTAAGCTTAGCCAAACATGTTCTTTAAGGTATGAACTCTGAAGATCAATGTACAAACGCATAAAAAAATATATCTGTAAACGAAAATTGCGAGAACATATACGCACAATATATACATATAAATATTACCTACTGTTTGAGCTTGAGGAACTGGTTGTGGGCTCTGCGAGTGTTGTAAGTCGTTGTGGCAGTGGGACAGGATTTGAATGAGCGAACAATAAGTTCGGCTCCGCAGGGGCCGTCGGCGGGCCGGCGGGGCGAATAGAATGTTTTGGGGGGATTTTAGGGTTCCCAATTCTGTTGAATTCTCCATTGTTGATTTGCTGTTCTGTGTTGCCAGAACGAGGATTTTGCAGAATCCGAATTTTCTAGTACTTATAGGTTACCCGAGTTTGGATTGAAAACTCACCGCCTTGTTGGAATCCATTCCGTTCTCTACCAAATATAACAAAATACGTAATTTTTTCTGAAGAGTTGGGCTGAAAGAATAAAAACCTGCAACGTTGTTACAAGATGAAGCCGACGCATTTTTATAGAGTAAGGGTAAGGGCAGCGAAATCGCCTCAATCTTATTTTATATTTTATTATTATTTTTTTAAATTTTAATCATATTTAAAAATTAAAGAGTAATAAATAAGTAAGTATGAACCATAAATGAAAATATTTTAATTTTGGAAGTAAAATAATGAGATAATTTTTTATGATTATTTAGTATTACATGATATATAGATAAATTTTATCTAGTGTTAAAGATTTATTTTATTTTAATTGTAACTCTTATTTTGAATTTTATAAATACAGGAAATTAATTCTAAATAATATACACAATTCTATTGGATTATCTTTTATCCCTTTTTCTCTCTCTAATTTATAACACGTTATCAGCATGATTTCCCTCCAAAATATAATAATATTTTATGTGCACAAATTTCTCTCCATTCATCTTCACGAAATTTTTTCATGCACCTCCATAATTCCATTTCTCCCTATCATCCATAAGTTTCTCTCTTTCTTTATGTATAAGGAAGTGACAAAAAGTGATTTACTTCCATTGAATCACTCATATTCGCTTGACATCCACTTCTTCCCTCTTTGCAACAGACATCTATATACGCATACACTTTCTTATGTATAAATTACACTCAAACAATTCGAAAGAGGAATTTTTGAATTTTATTGAGATCTGTCGTGGGAAATTGAGGGCCGTTGGATCTAATCAGTTTGCCTTCCTAATAATTATTATGGGTTACTTGTTTTTTATGAATCGATGTCTTTTATTTTCAATTTGAATGTGGGAATGTTTATTTAAAAGTTTTACTGAGTCGGACTGAAATTTTTTAAGATACAAGAAAATAGATATTACATGAGATCGGAGCATTTGAATGAAAAAGATTTGAGAGTAATCTTGAAATATAGGTAAGAGTTGTATAAAAATGTGAATAATGGATAAATGAAAAGAAGTATAATAATTATATTTTCTTTCTTTTGGTTTATTGTTTGATCAGTTACATTTAATTAATTATCACGTTTCTATTATAAAATATTGTTGCTCCTGAAGTACCACAATATTATTTACAAATATTTTAACTAAATTTTACTTACTCCCAAAAAATATAATTAAATAAAATCTAATACAAATTATCTTTTTACTCCTGAAGAGTACACTATTAAACAATTTATTATGGATAATTAGTACGAAACGTTTTTACCTTTCATTTGTTGACATTTTCACCTCTATTTTCGCCTTTCATTGCGAAAATGTCCTCTCTCAATAAAAAAAAGTAAAATGACAAATATATGTTCTTATTTGAATAAAACAAAAAGAAAATTAAAGAAAAATTAAAGAACAAAATGTAATTATACTCCTAAAGTTTTTAAAAAATGCAAATGAGTCCAAATAAATTATTAAAAGGGTAATTAGCACAAAAGGTCCATACCTTTCAATATTATTATGTAAAACGTCCATGCCTTTCATTTTTTGGCATTTTCACCCTTATTTTCACATTTCATTATGAAAATCATTTTCATCAATTTTCTCAATTAAAAGCTGTAAAATGATGAACATATCCTCTTATTTAAATAAAACAAATGAAGAACAAATTGCAGCTATTCTCACAAAATTTTCAAAAAAGTAAATAAATTCAAATAAATAATAAAAAAGAGAATGTGATTTTTATTTATTTTTTAATTATTTATTTGAAATTTATTTGTACTTTTTTGAAAATTTTGGGAGTACATTTATAATTTATTCTTCATTTTTGCCTTTTTTTGTTTTATTTAAATATGAGGCTATATTTGTCATTTTAAGGCTTTTAATTTAGAAAATAGATGAAAATGATGATTTTCACAATGAAATGTGAGAATAAGAATAAAAATGTCAAAAAATAAAAGGTATGGACGTTTTGTGCTAATTACCATTTTAATAATTTATTTGGACTCATTTGTTACGACCGTTCAATGGGATTTTGTTATACTTTTATTTGTTCACTTTCCCATAAGGAAGGAACATATTTTTTCAAATATTTGCCATTAATTAACCTCATGTGTTTGGTGCCGTCTAAATCTTCCAAATGATAGGCTCCATTAGGCAATACATTATTCACTTTATATGGTCCTTCCCAATTGAGCGACCATTTGCCATACCTTGGATCTTTGCTATCCAAAGGGAGTACTGTCTTCCAAACCAATTCGCCCAGACTGAACGATTTGGTTATAACTTTAGCCATTCTTCGTTTTTGAACTTGCAATCTATCTAGGACGTCTAACTTTAATTCATCCAATTCTAATAAGTTTTGAACCATTGATTCGGTATACTTATCATCACTTAACTTATATTGCAAACACACTCTGATCGATTGCACAGTAATTTCCATAGGCAAAATGGCCTCCTGTCCATAAGTAAGTTGGAAAGGAGTAATTTTGGTATTTGACCGAGGCGATGTCCTATAAGCCCATAAAGCTTTGTTCAGACATTCGTGCCAATTTCTGGCATTTTCATCTATCATTTTCTTTATAATATTTTTTAGAATCTTATTAGAAGATTCTTCTTGCCCATTGGATTGAGCGTAATATGGTGTGGAGTTTACTAATTTAACTCCAAACTCGCTCGAGAAACTTGATCCCCATTTAAAGATGTTCCGTGATTTACCATCAAAATTTGTGGAATTCCAAATCTATAAATGATGTGATCACGGATAAATTCTATGACATTCTTCTGGGTGATTTCCTTTAAAGGTATCGCCTCTACCCACTTAGTGAAATAATCAGTTGCAACTATAACAAAAGTATGTTGCTTGGACGATGGGGGATAAATATTCCCTATCAGGTCTATCGCCCAACCCTTAAACGACCAAGGTTTAATAATAAGTGTCATTTCTCGTGCTGGCGCCCTTTGTATTGGACCATACTTTTGGCATGCTAAACAACTCTTTGCATACTGAACGCATAATTCTCTCATTTTTGGCCAAAAATATCCACTCCTAATAATTAACCATATCATCCTTTGGCCAGCTTGATGAGCTCCACATATCCCTTCGTGCACTTCCGCCATGATCGTCCTGACTTCTTACAAACTTACACATTTTAGCAGTATATCATCAGAGCATTTCTTGAACAACTCTTCATCTATCAGTGCATAGTTTAGCAAACGCAACTTCATTTTTCTACTATCTCTTTTTTAGGTTCTTTAAGGAACTCCTTAATTTCTGCCCTCCAATCTATTGCATCTCCATCTTGTATGCAATGAAGTTCAATCCTTCTTGCCCTTCTTTGGATCACGGGCAATATTGTTCCATATTCACAAGTAGACTTCCAATTTAAAACCTTTGAGTACCCTGAGGCCATCTGGGCCAACTCATTTGCCACGTCATTGTATATCATATTAACGCATTGAAATTTTACTTGGTCGAATTCTTCTAATAACTTTTGGGCAATTTCATATTGACTCATGATGGAATCACTTTGACATTTAAAATTACCAATCAGTTGGTGAATCACCAATTGAGAATTGCTTCTAATGTTTACATTTTTTTACCCCCATATCCATTATTAGTTCCAGGCCCACGATTAAGGTTTCATATTCGGCCTGATTGTTGGTGCACATCCTATCCAAAGTGAATGCGAATTTGTAGCAAATCCCTAAAAGAATTATCAATGATACTCCTACTTCTGCACCTTTAGAGGTTTTTGACCCATTGAAATACAACACCCAAGGTTTTAGCTCGAATGAATTGATTTCTAATTCAATTTCTTCAGGCATGTCAAGGCATGGATGATCGGCTAGAAAGTTAGCCAAAGCCTGATTTTTGACTGCCTTTTGGGATATGTATTGTATTTCGAATTCTGATAAAGCTAATGTCCAAAAGCCTACCCTTTGGTGTAAAATAGGGCGAGAGAACATATACTTAATTAAATTTACTCTAGAAATCAAATAAACGGTTACGGGCTGTAAATAAGCCCTTAATTTTGTACATGTGAAATACAATGCAAGACATAATTTTTCGATAGCAGAGTAATTACATTCACATTTTGTTAACCGTCTACTCAAGTAGTAAATCGCCCTCTCTTCACCAAATTGGTCTTCTTGCACGACCATTCCAGCTATTGATTCTTTTTCAGCCGATACAAACACTTTCATTGGCCGTCCTTGGATTGGTGACACCAACACTGGTGGACTTGATAAATATGTCTTCAAGCTTTCAAAAGCCTTTTGATGTTCTTCTTTCCAGACGAATTCATCCTGATTTTTCAACTTTAAAAGTGACGAAAAGACTTTAGTTCGCCCTGCACAGTTAGAAATAAAGCGTCTTAAAAAGTTTACTTGGTTTAGAAATCTTTGCAATTCTTTTTTGTTGCTAGGTGGTTTGGCCTCTAGAATGGCCTTCGCTTTGTTTTTATCAAGTTCAATCCCTCTTTTGTGTACCAAGAAATCAAAAAAATTTCCTGCATTAACACCAAATGCACATTTTAAGGGATTCAACTTTAGCTTATATTGCTTTATTCGCTCAAATGAACATCTTAACTGTTCGAAATGGTCTTCTTTAATGGATTTGACCACTATATCGTCTACATACACTTCAACAAACTTGCCTATCATATCATGAAAAATTAAATTCATTGCCCTTTGATAAGTTGCTCTTGCATTTTTCAGGCCGAAAGGCATGACTACCCATTCGAAACACCTAGAGACTCGGGGCATCTAAAGGCAGTTTTGTGTATGTCTTCCCCAGCTATATAAATTTGATTCTATCCTGAATACCCATCCATGAAAGAATATAAGACGTGTCCGGCAGTTGAGTCTACTAAAGAATCTACCGTGGGCATTGGATACTCATCTTTGGGCGTGGCCATGTTTAAATTCCTAAAGTCTATGCACACCCTTAGTTTACTATTCTTTTTTAGTACTGGCACGATATTGGACAATCATTCGACATACCTGGCTGTTCTAATAAAGCCTGCTTTTAATAATCGCTCTATCTCTTTCTTAATCTCAGGGAGTACATTAGGAGCAAAACGTCTGAAAAGTTGC